TTTTGATATAGATTCCTTAGAGTCTAGTATGACACTTCCATAATTTATTATGGACTTGATTCTCCATCGTCTAATCAATTAGTTATTTGTTCTAATCACTTATACAATTAAAAAAACTTGTCCTAATCAATTTGACAGTTTCCAAACCAACTAGCTAGGCTCCAAAAACATTTTTGGTGATTTATTTAAAACGAAAGGCTTTAAAAATACTTGTGTGTGTGTGTGTGTTTTAGCCACACTACTTACGAAAACTACCTTGTGTCTTTAAAATACACTGATCACTCAAATTGGCACAATCAGACGAGCTTTCACACTTCCTCTTTTTCATGCTCTAAATCTTTAAGTCTTTTTTTCATATATACCAATCATACAATAACTTCATCTAAATTTTATTCTGGATGAGGCTTGAGATATCTTAAAGCTAGATACCAACATCAGAGAGTTGTAAAGATATCACTAGTGATCATAATACATAATTCTTTAGCTTAGTTCATAGAAATGGTTTGATTAACCACTTTGTGAATCTTTGACAGCTTAAGCTAGTTGATTGACTTCATGCCTTATTGCCATCAAATACACTTCAAGTGTTTTTACTACTTGAGGTGTTGTCATAATCAAAACCATGACATCATTAGGGATAGACAGATCTTGCTTATCTATGATCTTTGGTCACTTCTTCCTTTCCCTTTGTAAGAAGCTTCCCAAATCCTTGTAGGAAGGTTTTTCTGTGGCTTAGGATGATTTTGAAAATGCTTTTCACCAAGTGGAATAGTTTTATTCAACCTGTCCCATCTCTTGATAACATGTCCTCCTTAATCCATTTATTGAACACGACAAGTGGTTCCTCTAGATGGCTAGTATATTATTATTTTTCTTAATTTCTTTTTAAATGTCGAAGAACATAACTTTGGCATATATGGACCTTCTCCTATAATTTATATTTGAATATTTTTTATTTTTTTATTTTTTTAAACTCACACTTTTTCTTATAAAGTTTAAGTATTTCCTCCAAATTTCATGCTCAGATTACATTGGATGTCTCTAGGGACCGTTTCCGACCAAAGGTCGATACCCTTTCCCATTACCCCAAGTATAAAATTGATTTGAGGTTGGCATATTGGTGGACCTACCACAGCCTATGGAGTGGCTAGCTACCAAAAGGTGGCTAGACTAGTTATTTGCCACTTTGGGGTATATTTTATGTGCTTGTATGTTGGTGTCACAGGGTTTTGATCGCTCAAGTCATACTCATTTAGTGTTTATGATGGCTCCCAACGTATGTGTGACAGGGCTTCGATCCTTCTAGTTGTACCCCTGAATCATCTCCACCTTTAATTATAAGATTGAAAAAAACAACTTAGTGAGGAATTCTTTCTTTATTTTAGTGGTTGCATTACATACTACATGCCATGTTTTTATTTTACAATAAAAGAGAATTTAAAGGATAACATAACCGGGTTGTTTTTTCCACCGCATGTTTGTCTCTAGGATTGGTGCTACATGTTTTTGTTCCAGTTAGCCACTTTGTTCACTAACTCTTCTCGTGATACCTTTTCGATCGGAGGATGGACGAGCATATTCTTTAGCTTCCTAATTAACTAATCACATGTATTTCCATAGTTATAGTTTCACCTTCCCTCTGGTCCTGTTGTAAAGCTTAATATATTCTCTTAACTCCTGTCAAGTCAACATTGATGGTGAGTGCCTCGTTATGGACATTATAGTACTTTAAATTAAAATGGACTAGGGAAGCTACTACATCCAACATCTCCACAAAGGGTCAACCTAAAATATAATTCTAGACACTTTAGCTTAGGATGACTAAGAACTGGGAGTTGATAGTTCTAGTTTTCTGATCTTCCCTAAGGGTAACCATCAACTCAATGTATCCCTAGGGATGGGTAACGTTCCATTGAAGGCTTGCAAATACGATCCTTCATGCAACAATACCTTATCTTTCTTCAATCTTATTTTTTCAAATAGATTAGTGTACATGATATTGCAACAACTATCATCGAAATTGGATATGGTTGTTGCTATCACTAAAAGGAATGTATCTTTCGAGATTCCTACTACCTTCTTATTATCCCTAAATTCAAGGATCAACCTTTTTGGCTTGGTGAATGAGGTGCTCCCTTCCTTTATCCTCACGACCATTAACTCAATAATCTTTTTATTTATTATTCCTTTGGATGGCTGGCTCAACCAGGGGCCCCCTAGTTATATAGGAAATATATTGGTGCATGCCCTTATGTCAGTCGCTCTCTTTGCTATATGTTTATTTTCCTTTTCCCCCGATCAGAACCTCGATTCTCTTCTTGAGAGACTATCTTTTCTTTGGGGATTTTTCTCTGCTCCTCTTACCATCCTAACTAAATTCAGATAGTCATCCTTTCTTGATAATCCCTTCGATCACATCCTAGAGTTGGATGTAATAATTGGTATTATGGGTGTGTCTTTTGTGGAAAGGGAAATAAACTAATCAATCTATTTGGGCAGACTCTCTGACTAAATATGAGTTTCTTATCCCAACTTCTTTTAGTTTCTTGTTGATGTAATATGTCGTAATCCTTTCTTGGGAAGTGTTTAAAATATGAGCCAAATTTTGAGCGGGGTCTTCGCTCACGTTCTTCTTTAGATTTCTCTGAATCTTTTTTGGTGCTTGAACGATTCAGGAATCCTCAATCCTCGACTTCCTCCATTAGCCAATAATTTCTCCTCAAAGTTAATGTAGGGTGATGTTAGGCCTAATTCATTGTCAAAAATCTAGCACTTGAGACTTTTATATATTCCCCAAAATGCTATTGCTACCTTGGCGAATGGGTTGATGTATGCAATTAATGTTTTCTTCTTGCCTTAAGTCACTATACTAAGGGCAACCATAGTTGTCGGTTTCTGCTTCCTAGCAGTAAAGTGGGAAGTAAGTGTTTCCTAGAACCCGAACCACAAATTTATGCTCCCTTCAAGTAGGGATTTGAACAGGCTCGAGCGAACTCGATTAAAGTAAGTGTGAAGAGTTTGCATTTTACGTCCTTGTCCACGTGTTCGACGTGCTATTTGGAGTCTTTGTTTCCATTATAATCTTGAAGTTTCAAGGGTTTTTATAGGGATCGTGGAATCATGTCGTCTAAGATATGAGCTGTTAGAGGATTATTTTTCCTTGATTGAACTGGAATAACTTCTTCCTGTTGTTCCTTCCTCTTTGACTTACAGGGTGTGACTGCCCATTTTCCCTTCAGGGTCTTGCGAAGGTGTATGATGCATTTATCCTCAACGGTCTAGATATTTTTGCCCTCCTCCTGGTTTCCTTAGTCTCGTAACTTCGTGTGACGCTGCTTCCTGGACAGTGTTGTTTTTTCGGGTGGCATTCTGTAAGATCTCCTCTTTCCGAGTGAGTCTGTTCGCGATAGCTTACGAGTTTTGTTGTTGAATAATTCATAACATTTAGTTCAGTAGCTCATGAGTGGCTTCAAACCTAGATAGGCCTGGAAGAGCTCGAAATCAAAAAATGCTTCATGCATGGTGATATGAAGGTATAAAATATGCTCTCATACGGGATATGTATAGTAAAAAGGCTTAGTGTTACATCTTTCTATTTTTGTCATGCTCTGTGTTTTCTGAATGTAGTGCTTTATGCTTAATTGGGCCTCAACATTTGACCCAAACATACACAAAACTTCTTTTATAAAAAAATTCATATAATAAAATATATTATATATTAATTAAATTTTGAAAATAAAATATCTTTATTTTTATATTAACATAACTAAAATATTTATTGTTGAATGAATCAAACTTTGTCCGATAAAATATTCTTAGTTGAAATTTTTTTCTTATTTTGTTTTTAATAAACTCATAAACTTGCTTTTTGATTTATATTTTAATAACTTTTTTTTAGCACGCAAAATATTTGTATTGTTAGTTTCAATACTAAAAGTAAGGATCACAAGGATAAGACTCTTAACCTATCATTATCCCCCCTCTTCACATCTACTAAGTTCTCCTTAGTATATATCCTTATATTTGAAATAAAAATAACAAAATATTAATTGTTGCATCATCATTATTTTATTTAAAATAATAGATAGACAAATAAAATTTGGTCAATTCAATAAATATTTTAAAATAAAAATGTCTAATTTGATACAAAAATATCTATTTTAAATTTTAAATTAAGTTAAATTACAAGTTTTTCATTAAAAATTTTAATTTGAGTTTCAATTCCAGTCAAGTTTCTCAAATAGAAAGTCAAAGATTTGAAATCTTATTAATATTATCGTGTTTATGCATTTAAAATATTCATATTCAATGGTCCTGAGTAATTATACCAAATAAAAAGTTCTTAACGGCTAGTATTTCTAAAAGGAATATACATATTTGATAGTACATTAAAAGATAATTAAAATTGTAGCATTCTAGTTCATATTTAATTTAGGAGTGCATTAATAATAATTTTCTTTTTTTTTACTGAAAATTTATGACTGAATTGACTAACAAATTCGTTCTAAATCATAAAATGTAGCATCAATAAATATGATTTAAAAAAAAACTGAAAATCACAAAAAATCAAATATTATTGAATGTCATAAATTCATTTGTGTAAAACTATCAAGTTTGTGTTATTGTTCACTGCTTCATTTACTCTAATAGACTGGATCTTATTAATAAATATTGTTAGGTTTTTTATTGTGTCTCAAACATGAATTAATGATATTTCACTTTAAGTGTAAATTTACAGTTGTATTTTTAATTTAGTGTATTAATTTAGAATAAACATATATGAAATTTAAATAAATAAAAACTCAAGTCAAGTTATTTTCCTTAAAAATTCTCATTTTTGTTGACCGTAGATTAATTTTTTTCTTACATTTGATTTCCTTTTATAAACGTCCTAGTAGTTTATCCAAAGCATAAATACTCTTCCCTATCAATTATCAAATCACACAAATTTTCCTTCTAATTAAAAAGCTCTAAATCTTTTATTTTGTGTTTTCAAAAAAATGTCTGAAAGAATTTCTATCGGAAATATTGAAGATAAAAATTTGAAATGCAAAATGATTGAAGAATCTGAGCAAAAAATGAGAAAGAAATTGGAAAATATAACACCAACTTTTCAAGGTGATTTTGAGAAGGGTAAAATGATTGAAGCGGTGGAACCAAAATTGCATAAAGAATCTAATGTAATAACATCATTGGTTGGCAATATCACCAATCCAAGTTCCAATTTGTTTGAGAATGGTGAACATTCAAGTTCATCCAAAAATGTTATTGATGAAGTTTCAGTTAAGGAAGTGAAGGAATTTCTGTGTCTTTTTTGTGACAAGAAGTTCTCGAATTCTCAAGCTCTCGGAGGTCATCAAAACGCTCATAAACATGAACGTGACTTAAAAAAAAAAGAACAAAAAAAGAGGGAGGAGGAAATGGATTCCACCCTAATGTTTAGATCTAGTTTTACACGTGTAAGTCCTATTCACTATCAAGGGTATCCTTATTTTCATGGCAATTTCCAACAACCAATTGGGACTCAGATGAACAATAACATGCCTTTTTGGCTTGGTTCTTCATCAGTCGGCTATGGAGGGATGTATAATACACCCTCTCCACCATCTCCATTTGTGATGTCAATACCAATACCACCCATCACAACACCACAATGTGAAATGATTGATTTTCTAGGTACAAATCAAACTTCTGCGTTGTCAATTCCTCGATGGCCAAACACTGTGGAGTTGGATTTTTTTGGTCAAACCAATCAGACCCCTTCATCTCGTGAAAGTGCAGAAGGAAGTTCCAATGCTCAACTTTCTTCTCATTATCTTCCAATAGAACATGATTTTATTGGAGAAGGCCAACTTCTAGCACAGACTAATATGTCTTCTTCGTCAACTGAATCATCAACATTGGAAGAACTCGATTTGAATCTCAAACTTTAAGATTCTATGTCTACCAAATAAAAGTACATTAGGTACTTATTGTGACATCATGTTTTCATGGTCACCATGTCATTTAATTTATGTTTTGTTGTTTTGTTTTATTTTCTTTCATATCTTAATGTAATTTATTCCATGAATGAATAAAATCTAAGTTTTATTAATGTCAATAGACTTAATTATCAAGTGAATCTATGTCTTCTCCACTTGCACACACATCTACATGCAGATATTGTAAATTAAGAATAAAATTTTTTCAATAAATTTTCGACTTTTTTAAATGAAACATAATTTCAAGGGGGTAAAGTGTCAGAATCATAGTAAGATGAAAAAACGAATTATCTGAAATTATCTTTGAGTTGTGTTACTTTGTTAATTTTTTTTTTTAATCAAATATTTATTTTATGAAATTCATTGTTATATTCAAAACTTATGTTTATAAATTGTAAAATAAAATAATTATATAATTGAGATATATCTATATTGACATTATATAATACAAAATCGTTTAAGATGTTGATGTTTTTTCTAAGAAACTAAAAAATATATATTAACGAATAAAAAGTCCTTCAAACATAAGGCGTACAAGAAAAATTAAGAAAGTACTGTTACATCAACATCGCGATCAAAAACGCAACAGCAAAACCTCAAAACTAAGCAACACTAGTTGTAATACAATTCATTGGATGAACCTTTCAGTACTGGTGATCGAATTTGAAAAATACAAAATAAGATTTCAATCACCATAACAATTGTATTTTTACTTTTTCGCACATAGACGTCAAATAAAGACTATTATTCTGACAAACTCTATGATTCCGAGATTTTCAAATGATCCACACAATAATTACCCAAATGACATAGTTTAGAAGAATATATATATATATATATATATATATATATATATATATATATATATATATATATATATATATATATATATATATATATATATATATATATATATATATATATATATATATATATATATATAGTACAGGGAAAAGTACTATTACACGAATAGTACAGGTGTGCGCGTGTTTTCCTGCAAGGGTGTGGAGACTTAGAGACCCTAATAAATATACTACACGAATGGGATAAAAGTTGGTCCATGGTGGCAAGTAGTTTGTATGATGGTTTCTGAGGTTGTTTGAGGTATCAGCTCACGTGAGGTGAGACACCCTGTAGTTTTTCGACGTTGCTAGGTTGCAGGCGGACGATTGGAGTGAATTAGCTAAGGTTACTCAGAGCGGAGTGCTCTTAGAGTGGTGTTTGAATGTGTCTCAATAAACGTTACTTGAGAGTTGTCCCTTATCCCCTCAAGGGATCTTGTATTTATAAGAGTTCTCTGAGACCTAGGGTTCACGACCTCCTTGGAAATGGTCTTTAACGCTTTCATTTTTTAGGAAGACTATTGACCGGCTATATTTTCAGAGTCAACAAGGACTTCCTTTCATTCAGCTACCATGTTGGGCAGTCCACATGGGCTTCTACATCGAATTTTGCCCAGTCAGGCCATTTGGTAGGTGATGGACGCCCTAATCTAGGGTGTGTGTGTGTATATGTGTTTGGTAATTCAGTTCAGTGCAATATAACTTATCTCTATAGGATATTAACTCAATAAAATCAAATTCACTCTTAATAATCAGAAATATAAATTGGTCTTGTCTGAACTTTAGCAGTTCAATACTTATTTTTTTAATACTACTCATGAATTTTGATCCAAACTCCCTCTGAATCTAAGACCCCCTCTCACTTTCACTAAGTTACTTCTCAAGAGTTCGGACAGTTACAAAAATATATGAATGGTAAATGGTACAACTAAAATACTATATTCTCCTAATTTAGAGATATTGACCCACAAATAGAGTATTACACAAAATAAATAAAATACTCATGATCAATAAAATATGACAACCTAAGTAGTGTCATGTATGAATCTTCACAAATGAGAACGATTCTTTAAATAGCAACAATAGTCCAGCTAGAAAGCCTAGTAGGGTTGAGTTGGATGAGGCTAAACCTTCAAAAGCGCATGAGATTAATCTTCAATAATGTTGAATGCAAATCTTGAATAAATATAAATATCTTGAATATAACAAATTCAATCTTGCTAAAACTAATTCAAGTTAAATATTTTCTTAATCCAAAGATGTGCTAAAAGAAACAAATCATTGATTGTACTTAAAAGGAAACATATCACCAATAGTGTTATAATTACTACTATAAGCTTATGCGTGAAGCAACTTAGAATGAGACAAGATGTCTTACACAATGTATAATATTATGCTTAGCATGTTACTTTCAACTAAAGTATCTTGATCACTTAGATACAAAATGTCTCACAACTTGGAAGAATATCTTGCTGCACATGTTGTCTATAAAATATTTCCAATCACATGCAATAACAAACTCGCCCTTTGGTCAATTTTTAGGCAAATAAAACATGAACACTACTACAAAAAAACACATTTTACCTCAATTGGAAAAGAGATTTTACCTCGGTTTCACATGTGAGGTAACAAAGGGAATCGTGAAAACTTGTCACTTTACCTTTCGGTTTTTATTCCAATGAGGGAAAAGTTTTAATGGTCATTGATTTGATCCCCAATAATATTATTTTTTATTTATTTTCAAAACTACAAAGCGTGCACCACATACCTCTCGATTTCTGTTAAAATCCGAGGCAAAAATAAAGTATTTATGTCTATTTTAAATTAAAGTCGAAGGGTAAACCTATTTTTTTGTCATTTATAATTTGTCTTAAATCTCAACTTAATTGGCCTATATTTTTTTACACATAAACTTCATACAAATTTTGTGACAGAATCAGAACATTTAATTTTAAAACATAACAAATTAACTAAATATATGCAAAATATCAAATTACATTATTTACAGAACCAAACATACACATATCCAAAATGGTGTACCAAGAGAACCTATACATATTTGAAATAGAACTATATAATGACAAAACCAAATACACGTGTAACAGAAAATCTATAAACAAAGTATACAACAACCAACAAAAAGTAGTGTTGTTGAGATTCATAAAAATATAGAAAGCAGTCAGCCCAACGTGATTGGATGTCATATATATCTTCTTGTGAGAATGATGTTTGATTGCTAAACACCTATATTTGAACCAAATTTAAATTATGATAAGCTAACAACAACAACAACAACATTAATTTAACAAATATAAATAATTTACATGTATATGGATAAAGTTAATACCTTAATCCACAAACTAATAATGCCTCCGGAGACAATATTAAACATATGTTTCATAAAATAGTATCCACACTGTAGCAGTAGAAATATTGAGACTAAGCTATTGGATTGACTTGACTCACACAAATCAAAATAAAAATCACCACCACGCTTTATTGTTTCCAGAGGAATGCAAAAGGGTGAATAACCCAAAAAGAAGGGGGGGGGGGGGGGAATTTAAGTTCGGGGGTTGGTTATACAAAGGGAAGGTATTAGAACCCTAAATATCTACGGTACTCCGCAGGAACCTCTTCGAAAATTTATGTCCTTGGGCTATAAGTGTTGTATACAAAAATAGATTGTGGAGATGAGAAAAGAAGTATATTTTACAATTTTTGCAACCGTCACGGTTGCGAATCTTTAGTGCCTACATACCACCTTCTGTACAATAGGGAATCCGGATACTCGTAGTTCACCTTTAAAAATTTTAAAACACAAGTGTGTTGGTTAATTTTAAGAGATGAGACATCATCGTCATCTCCGAATGGAAGAACATACTTATTATCCACGATTATGAGAAAGGAGAGTTTACATCATCTCAAAGTGGAGGATATAACTTGGATTTTAAAATCAACAAAGCCTCGCTCCACACCCAAGTGAAAAATATCTCACTTTAGTTCATACCGTAGAAGTATAGTGGCTTGCATCACTACAAGGATTGGCAAGAGTCTAATCTTTTCAGAAAATTTTAAAGTAAAAATCCAAAATGGAAAAATGATTTGAATGAGATTGACTGACTTTTAGTCTTCTCATAAAAAATTTCAAAGTATTATTAAGTTGTTTAAAGTTTGATTAAGAAAATGATTTTTGAAAATGCATGGACCTAAGTCCAAGTTTATTATGAAAGTAGTTCAAGTTTAAAAACAAGAATAGTTTTCAAAAGGAGAAGAACCGTCTAACCAACAAGAAGCCAACACTTGACATAAGGAGTCAATGTAAAATTCTATTCCTTTAGATTGAAACCAAACAAGCAAAGATATTAAACCTCTTAAGAATACCAAACTTCAAATGCATTATGTCATCATAAAAATTGGGCAGAGTAACGACTGTATATAGATGAATTCCCAATCACCGGCAAAGTATATAATGAGAATAACATCCACACAAAGAAACAAACAACCCAATGTCTTAGGGTGAACCCCAAGAACTCCAGACAAAATAGAAATAGAAGTCACAAGTCTCAAGGGTGATGAAGGTCTCTACTCCTAAGTCCAAGAAGTCCATAACTCCATCATGCCAAGTATAGTAACCAAATAGTCCAAGTAACCTTAAAGTTTTTTTATTGTTCAAGTTGGTTATTAGGTATCTTCAAAAAGAAATTGTAAGCTCAATTGAGCAAAATAAAAATGTCATAAAGATAAATACTCAAGTGAGAAAAGATGAAAATAGCAAGAAATAAAAATGCTAAAATAAATGGTGCGTAAAAGTAAAGGCTTAAAGTAAAAGCATAAAAATAAAATTCAATTGTTAATTAGTTAGAAATTAGAGGTTAGTTGAATGGCCATCTTGAAAATTGCATTTGAAAACTCATAGAAGATTGATAAAATCAAAGCCTCTCAACAACAAGTTTCATTTGCTTTTTGTCAAGTATATCATTCATTTCAAATTCTCGATGCGACAATAACTTATATACAGTGTTTCAATTATTTACTTAGACCAAATTTTATGAAAGTTCATTAGAGGATTGATAAGACCAAAGCCTCCAAACAACAAACCTCAAGGTTATT